GGCTTATGGTAGAGAAATTAACATTCAATTCACGGGCAACAGCTCTGGTGGACATTCCTGCAGTCAGCATGCCAATTGCACGCTCCCTCAAAACTTGCGACATCTGTGGCATTGTGCTGTGTGATAAAACTGCACATTTTAGAGTGGCCTTTTATTGTGGCCAGCCTAAGGCACACCTGTGCAATAATCATGCTGTCTAATCAGCATCTTGATATGCCACACCTGTGAGGTGGATGGATTATCTCGGCAAACGAGAAGTGCTCACTAACACAGATTTAGACAGATTTGTGAACAATATTTGAGAGAAATAGGCCTTTTGTGTACATAGAAAAAGTCTTAGATCTTTGAGTTCAGCTCATGAAAAATGGGGGCAAAAACAAAAGTGTTGCGTTTATAATTTTGTTCAGTATATCTATCTATCTATCTATCTATCTATCTATCTATTGTTCTATCTATCGTTCTATCTAATGCTCTATCTATCTATCTATTGTTCTATCGTTCTATCTAATGCTCTATCATCTATCTATCTATCTATCTATCTATTGTTCTATCGTTCTATCTATCTATCTATCTATCTATCTATCCTCTTGTTGCAGGTCGTCTATATGTTCTACGCACTGGCTATCGTTTGCGATGATTATTTTGTCCCATCGCTGGAGAAGATCTCAGAGGTGAGTGCAGCCGCTTGTCAGGCATTTCAGCACATGTTACTTTCGCTATCCTTCAGAAAATGAAGTGATGACAGCCTTGTTCCCCTGCTCCAATGGGTCAGCACTGATGCTATGTGTCATGAACTCTGGCTAAAGTTTTAATTAACATGTCAAGATTGGAAGGTGTGTTTCCTTCTGGGAAATTCCCTTTGTTCACATTCCTTCAGGGAATTATATATATATATACTGTATATGTGCGTTAACTGCGTTAAAGTATTTAAATTGCGTTATTTTTTCATAATGAACTAATTAACTATATATATATATATATATATATAGTATATATATTAGGGCTGTCAGTTTAACGCGTTAATTAATTAATTATGAAAAAATTACACGATTAAAATATTTTAACGCAGTTAATGCACTGGCCCCGCCCCCAGACCTGTACGCCATCTTACATTTAATATAGTTGACTGTTGACAAATATGATGACTGTGTTAAAGTATTTAAATTGCGTTATTTTTTCATAATGAACTAATTAACTATATATATATATATATATAGTATATATATTAGGGCTGTCAGTTTAACGCGTTAATTAATTAATTATGAAAAAATTACACGATTAAAATATTTTAACGCAGTTAATGCACTGGCCCCGCCCCCAGACCTGTACGCCATCTTACATTTAATATAGTTGACTGTTGACAAATATGATGCAGGGCAACAACTCCATAAATGCAGTTATGCCATAAAATTCAAGATACTGGTGCAAAAATGCCCCTGTGTGAGTTTTGTCTCATATTTATATATATCGCATATCACACGATATCACATGAGCAGCAAGAGCAATATCACACGAGTGCTGTTTTTGTCCCGAATATCACAAGTTTAAATGTGATTTTATACAATAGTTCTGTAAATAAGAAGTTAACACAATATTATGTTTTTGCTAAATTTTGCAGAGAACATATTACCTTTAAATCCACAGCAGAACTGTTGTGCGTCTCCGAGCAACACGGCGGTGTTTAGTTTCTGAATAAATCCGCGTTTTGAACGAATCATGTGATCCAATGATTCAAAGGTCCATACATAAAGAGAGCCGTTTACTTTATTCCTGAATGAATCAGCCGTTTGAACAAATCGAATGAGGACATTTACCGCCACCTGATGGCAGATTTCGTTTCTTATTTAGTGTATAATTTCATTAAAAAATAAATAAATGAATGAATGAATTAATTAAAGGGATAGTTCCCCCCCAAAAAATGAAAATTCTGTCATCATTTACTCACCCTCATGTCGTTTTAAACCTTTCTTTTGTGGAACATAAAAGAAGGTATTTTGAAGACTGTTGGTAACAAAGCTGTTTTAGTTACTAATGACTTTCATTGTATGAACAAAAAATACTGAGATGTTTCTCAAGTTATCTTCTTTTATGTTCCATAGTTTATGTTAGGCCGTTGCAGCCTAAATGTTTATGTGTAATACATTTTATGTTGAATCAAATAAAATATTTCTTTCTAAAGCTACAATTTGCGATGTCTACTTGATACTTTCTCATTTACTTGAATGCGAACTGAATGCAATGTTTTCTGACATTTAATTGCTTTTTTACTGCTATTAACTGAAAAGGTATTATAATTTACATTTATGTTAAATGCAATTAGCTGAACTTAAGAGGGATTTTTGACCCACTTAATTACATATATGTAATTGCATAATAGTCAACACATCAAACAAAGTGTACTTTAAAGCATGACAAAAGATTAATAAAACATGATTGAAAAAGTACTTTAAAGTAAAACTTTTAATATGACATATTTCTTTTTGAAAGTGTACTTAAGTGTATTAAGAAACATAGTCATGAAAATGTTTCTCTTTAAATTATCTTTTATTTCATTATTATATTATCTGCAAGTGCAGTTTTTGAAAGTGTACTTTTAAGTTTTGAAGTACACTACAAGTGCACAATCGATACAATTAAGTGCACTTCTTTTTCACAAGGGAAGATTGGTTGAAGTACATGGCATTTGTAGGACAAAAGGGACCCTTTTATTAGTTGCAGATTATTGCTAGTTCTCATGATTAATCATTTATACGATGCTCTTGATTAGAATCTGCAGCTGAGTGAGGATGTGGCCGGGGCAACTTTCATGGCTGCAGGAAGTTCAGCTCCAGAATTATTTACTTCCTTAATTGGTAAGTTCACTTTTGCACAATTTTTGAACCTCCACTTCACTGGATATAATTATTTTAAAAAAATAAAGATGTGCGTATACTACAGTACATCTTAAGTAAGCTTGTATTGTACAGTAAATCAATGAGATCTTGACTATCTATCTATCTATCTATCTAAAGTATTAATGATAGATGAAGTGTTAGTTTAGCCATTCTTCATTGGAATCACATTGAACACACATATTGCCACAGTTTCTTGTGTGTTTTGTCATTTCTGCTCTAGACGGTGGCCGTGACCTGGTGGTCTCTGTTCAGAGACTCGCTGTACTACATCTTCTCCGTGCTGGCCTTGATTTTGGTGAGTGTATGTGTGACTGTACATACGAGAGAGAACAAAAGAGAGAGAGAACTAGTATAATGCAGTTTCTCCTCTGTTTTATTAAGGTATGAACATGGCGTCAATAATGACTGCCAGTACTAGTCTGTCGATTTACTTCTGTGACAAATTCATCAGAAACTTCTGGTCATTTAACCCCTTCATTTTCTGATTTTATCCAGGTTATCTATGATGAAAGAGTTGTATGGTAAGTCTCATAACTACATCCATATCTACATGTTTAAGCAGATGAGAACCATTGTATTGTATTTGCAGAGGTATTACAGTACTGTAATTATCTAGAAGCATTAGGAAAGTAATATCGTTGACGAATTGCTTTTTTGATGAAGCGTCTGCTAAATGCATGACGGTAATAAAAATGTACACATATGAGAGCTGTTTTAATAATCTTTGTATCATTAATGCATTGTTACAGGTGGGAATCTTTGCTTCTGATCTCCATGTATGGAGTCTACATCCTTATCATGAAGTGAGTATCGTGCTGTTCTCCATCACAGAGACTTTAGTGCAAATACTGAATACCTTCACAGTGCATTTAGAGAGTGTATTGAATAGTGCTCTTAAAGTATTCAGGTGCCTCTATTTTTATTACCAATTTTTTGAATATTTTAGAAGATATTTCAAGATTTTCCAAAACACCAAACCTTTTTCTTTTTTCACACACTTCATCCCGCAATTCATGCCAGAACGCTGTGAAATTTGGTCAGATTTGAACTTGGTTGTCAGTAAACACTTGGTCACAGGCATGTCATAAATATTGGTGTATTTATATTTTTAATGGAATGCAAGTTAAAGAGTGCTACATTAATGCACAAACATCATAAAAGCATAAAAATGTATGACATTTTATGGCATGCATTGTGCCATGTTATAAACAAAGTTATAGTTTATTAAGTTAAAGTTTAACATTAAAATAATCGAAAGCACTTTCTTTCTTTTAAACCCTTTGGCTATCTTTGTTAGACTTCCACTGTAAGTGCATTAGTGAAAACACATTTTCCTTCTTTTTTTTTTGCAACCTGAGAGACAGAAAATTCAGTTCTTTAATGAACAGCAGGACACATATACTGGCCATAGAAATTAACTTATGTGTTGTGTGATGGATGAAAAATAAGTGCTCTTAATTATATTGAATGTGCATGTATGTTTGAAAAAAACTGTACTTGCAGATTATATACAGTATGATTAAGAAAATAAAAGGCCACTTAAGTGACACTTCAATGTTTCTTAACACACTTTTTAAAAAAGTGGCCTTTGTATTGATGTCAGATTAAGTTTGTTAAATTTAATATTTCAAAGACAACAGATTGGGAAACGCAGCCCTGGGAGTTTTACTCGAAAACTTGAAATTTGAAGAGTTTGAAAATCATCTTCAAGATCAAATAATAGCCCAGACCAAAATGTCTTGAAGTTATACATTTACACAGACCTCCCTATTTCTTCAGTCATATCAGTTCAAGCTTCTCTTTATTGCTTTGCGATTGCAAATGCACGCCACCTCTTGCATGTGTGTGAGAGAGAGCAGCACGTTTCATGTATTGTTTGGAAAGGAGAGCTGATGAGTAACAGCGTTGTAGAGACGAAACAGCTTCTAGAGAGATAAGAGCAAGATCTTCTACATGACAATAAGCTACATTAAGCACCTTTTAAGGCCATTTGGGAAGGCTTGAGCTGTTTGAGCCTCAGATAAACATCCCTCCTCTCTGTTTTGTTGGAGGAGGGAAGCTGATGGGAAACGCAGCCCTGGGAGTTTTACTCTAAAACTTGAAATTTGAAGAGTTTGAAAATCATCTTCAAGATCAAATAATAGCCCAGACCAAAATGTCTTGAAGCTATACATTTACACAGACCTCCCTATTTCTTCAGTCATATCAGTTCAAGCTTCTCTTTATTGCTTTGCGATTGCAAATGCATGCCACCTCTTGCATGTGTGTGAGAGAGAGCAGCACGTTTCATGTATTGTTTGGAAAGGAGAGCTGATGAGTAACAGCGTTGTAGAGACGAAACAGCTTCTAGAGAGATAAGAGCGAGATCTTCTACATGACAATAAGCTACATTAAGCACCTTTTAAGGCCATTTGGGAAGGCTTGAGCTGTTTGAGCCTCAGATAAACATCCCTCCTCTCTGTTTTGTTGGAGGAGGGAAGCTGAAGCTTGTTTTGTTACAGAGACGTTGATAATTCAAGATATTATACATTTATCCCATACAGATACAACAGTCCTGTTGAAAAGATGAAGAATATGTTGTGTTTTGGATGCTGGTGTGCTTTATGTCGCCAACAGATGCCTTAAAAAGAAACAGCGACCCAAAAACCCTTGAAGAAGCTTTTGAAGTCTATATAAGTCAACTGTGAATGTATAATAATACATTTATTGATACATTAACATTTTTTATTATGAATAATTGACAATGAATTATAATTTATTTATTAAAAGGCTGTAATACTGATAAGCGCTGAAAATATGTAATTCAGTTCAGAAAGATGAACAAGAATAAACATTTTATAAAATCAAAATAATGCTCTTACACGGTTTATATAATGTTTTAGCACTGAATACTTACACGCAATGTGATTAAGGGTTGCTTAAGAAACACAAATCACAGATACAGTGGGTACGGAAAGTATTCAGACCCCCTTAAATTTTTCACTCTTTGTTATATTGCAGCCATTTGCTAAAATCATTTAAGTTAATTTTTTTTCCTCATTAATGTACACACAGCACCCCATATTGACAGAAAAACACAGAATTGTTGACATTTTTGCAGATTTATTAAAAAAGAAAAACTGAAATAACACATGGTCCTAAGTATTCAGACCCTTTGCTCAGTATTTAGTAGAAGCACCCTTTTGATCGAATACAGCCATGAGTCTTTTTGGGAAAGAGGCAACAAGTTTTTCACACCTGGATTTAGGGATCCTCTGCCATTCCTCCTTGCAGAGCCTCTCCAGTTCTGTCAGGTTGGA